GGGCGCAGGGAACGGGACGTAGGTCCCGTGGCTGTGCGACCTGGGCCATTCGCGCCGCCACTTAGGAACTCGTCTCCCTGAGTTCGAAGCCCGCGACAGAGAAGCTGGTGGGGGCGGAAGGGGACGGTAACGCGCCTCCAGCCCTGCCCGGGTCCGAGCTCGCCGCGCGGTCTGCGCGTTAGAGAAAAGCGCGATTATCCGCGTGACTCATGCAGCGCTCCCTCCCTCCCGTGCGCAGGCAGGAGCCCGGCGCTCGGCCTGGCCTCCCACGGCTCCTCGCGGGCCTTCTGCCGGGGTGAGGATGGGGGTGGAGAGGAGGCGGGTGCCCTGCACTGGGAGGACGAGGAGCGGGAGGAGGGGTCCCCGCCAGGATCAGACGGAAAGAGGCCCGGATGGGGAACGCAGTTATGGTTTTGATATTAGTAGGAGCGAGGAAGGGAATGAAAGGGCTGAAGATGTCCTTTGGAGAGTGGGGGAGAGAAGACGGACTGTGAAGCTCCGAGACACCTTTCCGCCAACCATCTTAAAGCACTTTACAAGCCATGCACTCTCCTTTCCACTTTATGGATGAGAAAACTGAGTCATAAAAAGGTGAAATGGCGAGTAAAGGTCAAACGACAACTCGCTCCCTTCGGCTCAGGCTCCAGGCAGGTCAAGCCCACTGAAAGGGACTTAGCAGGAAAGTGGCTTTGTGCCAGGAAGTGGAGCGATGCGGTGGGACCCTAGTTCCCGAAAAATGCACCCGAGCCCGAGGCAACCGTTCTTGCCCACCGGGAATTCCGAGAAAAGGAAAAGGCTTTCGTTATTTCAGTCTTAAAGCGCTGCCTCCCCACCCCCACCTTCCCCTTAGTTTGTGATCAGTAATTTTCCAGCTGGGAAATGTTTTCTCCCTCATCTTCTCTGCAAACAGTACTTGTTTTTTTGTTTCGTTTTGTTTTGTTTTAAACGTGAGTGTGGTGTTCGATATCACTTGCTAAAAGTGCACTTGCGAGGTGTTTACTCTGTTCAGGCGCGCGGCGCCGGGCTGCGCCCTCTCTCTCCACGGAGCCCCCTCGCCAGCACTTGCTGCAGGAACGCCGCCGGTGTCAGCCTAGGAAAGGAAAGAGAGGGGCTGGGAAACGGGGTCGAAGCCCCAGCACCCGGCAGAGTGTGCGCTCACCCCTCATTCAGCTCTGGTTGCTTCGTGTCATTGTCACCTGTTTGTCTGAATCCTGCGATTCTGGTACCTATTAGGTTTCCTGAGAGTGTTATCCCTGATTTTTCCACTCCTCGCCGACCACAGAAGCATTCTTGGAATGCATCTCGCCCCGAATGAATCTACTTGGTGCTCTCTGCCAACGCTAGGAATCCCTCTAAGGTCCAGAGAGTTGGACGCCCTTGAGGATGACTTCCATCCTCTTGGCTTTGGCCAAGGGCTGCGAGGGCCCGCAGCTGGGGAGAGGGGCGTGCCTTGGCAGGGAAACCGAGGCCCTCCCTCTGGTGGCCCTTAGGAATTCAACCCCATCCCCATAGAGCCAGGCCAGTTACTTTAACTGAAAATATTGCCCATTTTCAAGTAAGGAACCAAGAAAGGAAGACACCTGCTACCCTCTCCCCCTACCTCTTTCATTATAATGGCGAAAACTTCTTGGGATGCTGGACCTAGGGTTGTTTGGAAAAGTTAACCACTTTTCCGTCAAGGCTAAGGTCCCTAAACCCCTATGAACTTGGATGAGCCACTGATTGGCAACCATCACCCTGGGGGTGTAAACCTCTAAGTCAAAACTTGGGATTTCCAACTTAGATTCCTTCTGCTTTGCCTGTATTCCAAGCCAGGTTCCTTTCTGCTTTGCATGTATTTATATAAGGCAGTAGCCCTTCCCCCACCAAAAAGCTAACCATAACCACCACAATGAAAAAATAGTTTTGCACAGGTGAATTGGAAAGCCACTATTATTATGTCATATAATCAAGACAAGAGTCTGAAACACAGTTTAAAAAGATAGTTTCCAAACAGCCTTCCAAACGATATAAGCCAGTGCCTCTTCACAGTAGGCAACTATCTGGTTATTCCTCTGATTGCATCATAAAGGGAAATCTCTATATTCACCCCAGATTTCTAAAAGAGGTAAGGAACTTCAAGTTCATAAATCATCTCCTTTCAAGGCAGATGCCAGTGTGACAACAGGGTTATGACCCTCCCTCTCTTCAGAACAGGTAGGGCCAGAAGAGTTAAATCCCTGCCCTATATAATTTATAAACATGAGGCTGAGTAAACCTTTGATGACTAATTGCACTCTAAAATAATAATAATAGAAGACACCCTTTAAAGAAGAATTAAATACTGGTGACTTTATTTCAGCAAACTGATATTACAAGTTTTGTGGTATGGAAGTTAATTATTAATGTCCTCAGAGTTATAAAATAAATTTTTTTTCCAACACAAACTGCATTAGTTGGCAGAAGATGTGATGGAGACCATTAGTGCTAGGGGATTAATGGGGTGTGATAGGATGAAGAGGCTGCATAAAAGTTTCAAGTGAAGGACTCTGTACCCATGACTGGGCAAGGAGTCTGGACACACACAGCACCAGGGAGCCTGGCTACCCGGCATTGGGTGTCTGTGCATTAACTGCCCCAGAACTCAGGAAAATCTGCTTTTTAAGGAGAAAGCAGGCTGTCTGGTTAGCTCAGTTGGTTAGATTGTAGTACTGATAACAAGACCAAGGTCCAGAGTTTGATGCCTGAGCAGGCCAGGTACCCTGCACCTCCACGAAAAAAGAAAAGATGAAAGCAAGAGATGGTTTTAAGTATCCACGTTGCTTTGAAGTGAAATTCCTACTAATATATAACCGAGAGGTGTTTGCAACTTTCAAAGGTGACAAAGTGTCCACTCCCATCCCCTTGCCTCTTTTTAACCTCAGTCTTGTGTAGAGGTTAAGAAAGTCAGCTTTGACACTAAATTTCCTAATCTGGCTGGGCTGCTTTCTAGCTGGGCAAGTTAGAAAGTTTACCTGTATCCTCTTCTGTAAAATGGGGATATTAATAGTACCTACTTCTTAGAGTGATGAGGATCAAATTAGATCAGCTAAGTGAAGTATTTAGCATAGGACTTGACACTCAATACATGATAGCTATTAATATCACCAATATTCTCAGGGCACCATAAAGTTCATAAGGACAGGAGCTACTGTTTTGTTTGCTGATACATCCCCAGGTCCTAGTACAGTGCCTGCCTAGCACATAGTAATGCTCTATAAGTGTTTGTTGAATGAATGACTAATGTACTTTTCCCTTTGAGCAGTCCATTAGCAGGAAGCTGGTCTTTCCTTGCAGCTCTCAGCTGTAGGCTCTTTAATCTCCATTGTTATCAAGAACCTCAAACCACCCAGACTCTTTCATCTCTCTTCCCCAGCTTCCCAAGCTAGAAACTAGGTTTTCCTCAACTCTTCCCTCATTTTCTTTGACCCAGACATCCAGGCATCCACAGCGTTCAGCCATATCCATTCCTAAGTATCTCTACTGTCTTTTTCTTAATTCCCATGCTGCTTTGGTTCAAGTTCTCCTCATTCATATCTTTTAATTGAGATTGTAGCCTTCCAACTGTCCTCTTCTTCTTTTCCCACTGGGATCACCCTGCTGGATCTAATCCATTTTGCTCACAGACCACCAATTTCTGCTTCTACTCCCCTCCCCACAGCTAGTCTTTCAAACAGTTCCCCATTGCCTAGAAGAACAAGATCCAAACTGCTTAACTTGATGGACCAAGCTCTTCCCTCTCTGGCCCTAGACAAACTTTCATGAGTTATTTCTAGAGACTGACTTCACCTTCCCTATATCCTGAACTGGAGGTTCTCTCAAATCCCCAAATCCTTCTTAATTGTCCCTTGGTCTGTGAGTCCCCTTTTAGGTTAGTCCTCTTTTCTCTGAGCTCTAATAAAGCTGTGTGGGGACTCTGCTATGACATTCACCCAGTGGAGTTCCCTTATCTTGTTACCTGTTTGTAGTTCTTGGTCCACTGTGGCATCCCCAGGACAAAGGCCCAGTGACCATTCAGTGTGGGATGAATGAAGTGAGCAGAACT